CCTATAGAACTTTTTATACACAGGCTCTTTTGTACTATCATTTAAATGAGGAATGGAAAATAACGTTACTTTAATCACATTAAATGGATTGCAATTTACATAGGTCAGGTAAACAAGTCACAGTGCTTTAAATGAAACAAAAAGACAGTATGTAATTGAAAAATGTGACCACCTGACCAGATCAAAGATCTCTCTCCTCTCTCTCTCTCTCTCTCTCTCTATATATATACAATGACAATCACATCTGCAGCTCATTTTTGTGCTAAATATACTGGGAAATAATTTTAATTATACCTTGATTTTCTTTAAATAAGAGCCATTATTCTTGATACAAGACTTTATGATGGTAAGGAGTCACTTAGTGTAGAATGGCTGGTTCATTACCTGTAAATCACAGGCCATATTACCACACAAAGGCGAGGTGCCATTAGTCATATCATCTGTCAGAAACTCCAAGGAAACCTCAGTCTATGAACATCTACAGTTACATACATTTACAGTTTAGCACATGCACAAATTAAAAGGAAACAGATCTCCTTCGTTCTCTTTATAGCAGTACAAGTAGTATATTTCTTATTTTAATAGGAACAAATGACCCTGCCAAATTATGCAGCAACTTTCCATAGCCAAAATCACTTCAGTTTTTAGAAAAAACTTGAAAATTGGTGTATAAGTGTGTGCTTAGACCATGCAGTCTTCAGCAGCAGGAACGGTGATGGGTGATCAGTGTCCTTGAGGTTTTAGCTGTAGTACAGGTAGATCCATGGGTTTGTGCAGCTGTTAAGACTGGCGAGGAGCATGATAGTGACAAACACTGGCCCTGTAGAACATAAAGTATCACACACAAAATAACAAATTGCACATATATAGGAAGTGTTCAGACTTGGAACCAACCGATTGTGTGCTCTGGGCAAAAATATTGCCTGTTTGCACCAGCTGGTGTCTACACATGAATCAGTTTAATCTGATCTGGTCTTTTGTCGGCTACTAATGAATTGTTTTACTAATGTCTATTTATCTGCTAGATCTGCAGCTGAGGGGAGATAGACAGTTCCCACAACAGAACATGGTTGTGAGTAATCATATATGACTTATACACATTAATGGGCCTTTATTTACATCTATTATCATAAGAGTTAAATATTACCACACCATGTGGTTATACCAGTATATGTAGACATACATTTTTATTATTTGATATGGGACATTATTTTATTCATCAATGCCTAAATAAACATATTATATGCAATTATGATGTATTATATAAAAACTGTTTCTTACTAAAATATTTATATATTTTTATGCAATTAAACTTGAACATAAAAAGAAAGTTTAATAAAAAGCCAAAATATGTAGAAATATTTTCAGATATTTTATTATCATATTTAAAGTGAGTATTATGGATTCTGCACTTTCATTTGTAATATTTGCAGATTTGTGGTCAAACTGAGGACAAAACCTGTAATGTGAAAAAAAACAGTTCCTTTTTAAAAATATTTTATATTTTTTAATGCATTTAGACCTGAACATAAAAAGAATATTTAAAAAATGTAGAAATGTTTAAAAATATAATATTGTAAAATATTTTTAAAAAATATTATACGATAATATTTAGAGGTAATATTTATGATTCAGCACTTTTATTTGTAATATTTGCAGATTTGTGGACAGACTGAGGACAGAACCTGTAATTCAAAAAAGTTCCTTAATGAAAATTAGCATTTTTTTTTTCAATGCATTTAAACCTGAACATAAAAAGAGAGGTTTTAGAAAAATAGTGGGGGGAAATGTGCATAAATATTAACAAATATAATATTGAAAAATATTTAGTAATATTTTATGATGACATTTAAAATAAATATTTAAGACATAGGTGGCTCACATAATCAAATAAGCAGATTTGTGACATAGATGCTCTTCCATTGACGTTTATGATGTTCTTTGAATCTCAAACCATACCGGAGAACATGATTATCAGGTTTTACACAAACCTGTGGAGTTGCCTTTTTGTTTATTTTCAGTGCATCTTTATACTCCTTGATAAACTGATAATACTGTGTAACTTGTATGAAAAAAAAAAAAGTTTTACAGAGTCAAATAAAAATGCCAAACAGAAGCATATCAGGAGAGCTACTTTGACTTGCCTTGCGTGGGCGCACTGCTTGGACTCCAAGCTGACCAGAGCTGGACCACGAAGAACGGGCTCCAGCAGAGGGTGTACACCAGGATGATAATAAAAGTCATTTTGACAGTCTTCAGCATTGCGCTTGATATCCCTTTAGAGCTGGAGCGCCCATCACCTGTGCTGCTCTGCAAGGCTTTCCTCTTCATGTTGAAATAGATCCCTGCGCAAATCTTTATCTGACAATACATCAAGATTACGGCTGGCAGAACAAACACGGACAGAGTGATCCACGTTATGTATATTCTACCTCCCCAGGGCTCAATAAACGTCGCCCAGCAGTCGAAAACATTCATCTCAACTTCTTGGAGAGAGAAGATGAACATCTGCGGAGCGCTGAACGCCAGGGAGATGAGCCATGCTGCGCTTATGGCAACATACCTGCGGAAAGACCCTCTAAAGAACGACACCATGGGTTTGCAGACCGCTTGATAACGATCTATGGTCATGGCCACTATCATGTACGTGGACGCGAACATCCCGACCACCTGAAGATACTTCACCGCTCTGCACACCAGATCGGAGCCTTTGAACCGGTGCGTAATCTCCATGGATAACTGCGGCAGGACTTGGAAGAAAGCGACCACCAGGTCAGCCAGGCACAGGTGCAGAAGAAACAGCTGAGTTCGAGTCCATCTTTTCCGTCTTTTCCATAGAGCATGGAGGAGGAATAAATTGCTAAATGTTGCCAGCACGAAATTGCAGCCAAGAACTGCAGCTTTCACGAGCGCAAAGTGTCCCTCGGATGAACCAAACGCTTCCTGCGCACTGGAGCAGTTACCGCTGCTGCAATTAAGGTTATCAGTCATTGTAAATTAAATCCTACCTTAGAAAGTTAGCGTGACTGTTTAGTATGTTATGTGAGAAGGTGTTTGACTGCTGCACTTGAGCGCTGACGCACACGGCACGGTGCGCTATGGCGCAAATTGGTGCTGAGGACTACAACGTGCACCGGTACCTGTGCTCACGCACGTCAGACATTCAGTCATACATTCAATTATGCGCTGAACAAGCACATGACAATTTTTTTGCAGTTGAGCTCATTAATATTTTTGAGGTCAATCGCAACCTGGCATCACTAAAGTAGCCTTGTGATTTAATTCCCATAAGGTTTTAAGCTTTTAAATATAATCTATGATTTGGATATTATTAACCATGAAAAGTGACAAAAGAGTGCTGCAGTGTGATTAATTGTGTATATAAAATGACTTTAAACTGCTTTTTCTATTTTCTGTATAATGCATATTAAGATGAATCTGTTTCTTCATCAGAACAGATTTGCAGAAGACTTTAACGTTTAATTTAAACACTCACTTCTGGCCAAAATAAGTCCACTTGCTCACTAATGAATCCTCTGCAGTGAATGGGTGCCGTCAGAATGAGAGTCCAAACAGGTGTTTGATCTGTGATATTTCTATCCCGATTCAGATGAGAAGACATTAAGTGATGGACTGGAGTGGTGTGGATTATTGTTATGTTTTTATCAGCTGTTTGGACTTGGGGACCCATTCACTGCAGAGGATCCATTAGTGCGCAAGTGATGTGATGCTAAATTTCTCCAAATCTGTTCAGATGAAGAAACAAACTCATCTACAACTTGGATGACCTGAGGGTGAGTAAATTTTAATTTTTGGGTGAACTATTCCTTTAACAGAGAGACTGTTTGTACCTTTAAAGTGCATTTTGTGTTGCATTATGGAACTAGGTAAACAGCTAAATATATCACCAGCCCCATTGATTGAATTATGTCAGCTTTTTAATTCCTTTTAACCTTTCCTGCAAAAAAAAACACACACAAAAAAACCCCACCCATCATTTGTAAAGAGTGAGAGAGACATCCAAATAATCAAATCTTCAAATATAACAGTAAAGTTCAAATGGCATATTCTAAATAATAAATTTAATTAAGCAGAACGTTTTGATGTCACTGAAGTAAAGTCAAGCTTTTGATCATCATTCTTTTGTGATTTGTGTGTGTGTGTGTGTGTGTGTGTGTGTGTGTGTTAGATTCAAAACACTGGTAATTAATTGACTTTGATATTTGATGAGTGCTTTGACTATTATGACTAAATGTGACTAATGAGCTTGATGTATTTGCTATGAATTATTTCAAGCATTTTTTTTTACTTTACTGCAGCAGCAAAGACTTGTAATAAAGCTTCTATATTCTATTAAAGTATAGGCCTATTATTGTGTTTTGTACTTTTGTATTTTATTGTAGACAAAACATCTCTAGCAAGCATCAAAACAATTAAAAAATGTTTACAGACTTCACCTGTGTACCTTAAAATAATGGATCATTTTATCAAACACTATAAACTTTGACCAAATAAAAACAAAAGAATAATTCATATTAACATTTATAATATTAACAATAACAAGGTAATTAATGCATTTTACAGGGCACTATAAAGGAATGGAAATAAATAATTGTAAAAAAAAAAAAAAACTTTTTTAACATTAGTCATTTTGAAAGAATAAAAGGAGAAATCTTAATAAAAATAGATTTGGTTTTAGGGCATAATTTGGCAAACTCTTTTTATGAATGAAACATTTACCATGCGATATAAAAATAATACCATTATACATAAATATAGAATTTAATGTTCTTATTATTTATTATGTTATGACATATCGTTTAAGCGTAAATTATAGTTGTATAGTCTTTGGTTAAAGCCGTTGTTTAAAGTTAATTCTGAAGGGACTGCATGCGTTTATCTGCCTAGATACAGACATATGCAACTCTGCATACCTCAGCGTGTCACGTGACTACATGGCGTTTCGCTATTGGTCAGCACCGTACCGGGGAAGTTGTTTGTGTCAAAAAGCAGGAAGCGCACAATTGGGTTTTTATTAACTGGGTTTCTTTGGAATATCATACTGAAAGTCATTTGTCTCTGTCCAGCAGGAAATGTTCTCTCATGTCTCTCTAATTTTTCTCGAAGCACAGTATCTGTAAGTATAACCACGTCTTTTAAAATTCATTTAGATTTTTACTCTAACTGATCAGAAGTCAGTTAACAATCACCACTTACGTTACTATAGGCTGATTAACCACACCTGAGTCTATAAATGAAGTGTGTCGTATTCATTTTCTTCTTGCTAGTCGTCCTAGTAGTTTTTCCGCTGAAATAATATAATTATATTTTTGGACCGGTGCGCTTGTTGGCATGAGTTGTTTACAAAAAAATATATTTTTACGTTGAGAGATAGACTTTTTCGTTTTATTCAGTGACATGACCGTAAGTAACGTTACACGTACTACATAACAGCATATCCACATCTTTATTTTTGTTAATAAAGTCTTCGTTTTAGTTTTAGAGCACTTGTTAAACGGGTATGCTACTCGTATTGTTTATTGTCTTTTGACCTGTTATCGGTTATATGTGATACGTTTGATAAGGCCTGTTATGCACTAACGTTACCAGTTTAAAAAGTTTGGACACACGCGATTGAATTGGTTTATAATGGTTTGAAGGCAGTTGTTGTTAGGTAGGCCTACTATGCAGTGTAGCTATGACTATGATTTACCATACAGCAGGGTCTGAAGTTCCATATTTTTAATGAAGTAATAATAAAAAATACCAAGGACAAAATATATTATTAAAAGGTTAGTTCATTAAACACATTCGTTCTTGTGGCAACCTTCCGCTGGATGATATAGTGCCTTGCTTAACTGAATGTTGGTGCGCAACAAAATTAGTGTTCAGAGCTGCTACTCAGCCGTTACTATTTAAGGGTATTAATTAGTAACACCAATTATTAAGAACACATTTATTGTTATTATTATTATTATAAAACCGTTAGTTTAATATACTTCATCCTTTCGCTAGAAGATCTAGTTCGTGGCCTAATTGAACGTTGCAGTGCAACTGAATTGGCAATCAGCCATGCCCAGTGATATGATTCAGCTGTTACCATATAGTGGATTTTATGTGCTGACCAATCAGCAGCCAGGATCGGGACTATAACATTTAAAATCAATAAGGAGCAGGCTGTTGCCTAAAATAGTACATGTGCGACTTTTGTTGACCTGGTGCTGCATTACATAATTCTCCCACCCCAAAGGCCTGTTCACACCAAGAATGTTAACTATAAAGATAGCTATGTTAGTGTCCACACCAATGCACAATAACGTTGTTTTTTTTTGTTTTTTTTTTGTAAGAACATGCTGCATTTGTCGCCTTCCACAAACCGTTCCACTTCCACAAATTGTTTTGAAAGTGGTTCCAACGATATGGTTTCTGTTATAGTTGTAGTGTGGACTTCTCTATTCTCCTAGAATTAAACAATTATTGAAACTTGGTGTGAACAGACCTCAAGTCTAAAGTTAGGATGTGAAAAATGATATGTTGTAAATAAGATTCTAACAGAATTCACCATGGTTACTAACCAGTAAGTGTTTGGAGTTGGGTTTTTCTGTATTATGGCCCCAGGTTTAGTAATTAAAATACTTAATTTGTATGTTCTTTCCCACATAGTTCAATGTATCCTGCCCTGTTGCACTAAGTAACCATCAGTTAAGGGCAGTGTTCCTCAGAAGAGCACCGCTGCTTATGTGGAGATGGAGGAACGTGCTCGCAGCTGCCTGCTGCGCTCCAAAGCCACTCTGGAGCAGGACATCAAAGCCTCCTACTTGATGGACCACATGGTCAGTGACGGCATCCTGACAAATGATGAAGAATCAAGGGTGCTTGGCAAGGTTTGTTGTGGTGTTCAAACATGCTCCGTTTTACTTGTATAAAAAGTGAATGTAAGTCAAGTTTTCCTATTTCTGCTTCTCCAGCCTACTAGAAGAGAGCAGGCCGCAGCCCTGCTAGAGGTGCTATTGAGGAAAGACAACAGGGCCTACATCTCCTTCTACAATGCGCTGATCAGGGAGAGTTATGGCGATCTGGCCAACCTCCTTCATAGTGACCTTCCTCTCCTCAGCCCTGAGGGAGAGAGGAGCTTTGCTGATGGAGTGTCTCCCTCTGGTAACCACTTGGACATGTATGAACTTGTTTTTAAAGGAGGTTTGAATGAGATGTTAGAGTTTTGTGTTTTTATTCTAGTCCAGGTGATTCTGAGTGAAGGTGGCGTGCCTCAGAGACCCGTGGTGTTTGTGAGCCGACCCGCTCTGCTCAACCTGATCCGGGAGAGGCTGTACCGACTGCAGAATACGCCGGGCTGGGTCACTGTGTTTGGCATGGCTGGCTCAGGGAAATCTGTGATTGCTGCCGAGGCTGTCCGAGACCATGCCCTCATTAAGGGTAATGACTTTAGGATTTTGTGCTTTATTTTATTTAGAAGGCTTTCATATTTTTTAATGTACACCTTTCTAATTTATTTAATTTAATTTAATTTATTATTTATTGATTCTGTCTTGTGTTTTTGTTTGTTTGTTTTTGGTTTTGCTTAAGTTTTGTTTTAGCTTTGTTTTAGTTTTTCATTTGTTTGTTTTTTTTGCTTTTTTTATTGTGAATCTATAATATATTCTACTGAGTAAAAATCAAAACGAAAAAAATGAATTTTAAAATAATGGAGGACAAATTGAGTGTGAAAGGATGATTTTTTTTTTATAAAGAGTTTTTCTAAGAGACTACAGGGCTGAAAGTAATTGTAATTTATTTATTTTTTCTCTGTTGCTCAGAGTGTTTTCCAGGTGGCGTTCACTGGCTTTCTGTCGGCCAGTGTGAGCGGGCAGACCTGTTGGTAAGGATGCAGTCTTTATGTTTCCGTTTGGAGCAGGGTCAAAGTTCAGAAGCCAGTCAGCGGCCACCCTGCTCCGTGGAGGAGGCCAAAGAGCGCCTACGGTTCCTAATGCTGCGCAGGTTCCCCAGGTGAGTGCTGGAAGGATATGGTATTAGTTCACTTTATTTACTCAGAACAGTGGTTCTCAACCCGCGGGCCGCATGCGGCCCGTCACGAATTCAAATGCGGCCCACCATGCTGAACACAATTAAAAAAAATTACTTTCAGTTTTACAATTCATTTTAGTTTTTACATTAATTTAAAAATGTACTAAATAAATATAAGCTATAGCCTAATGTTTTTATGTAAAATAATTGTTTTTCATATATTATTTTCAGACATGAGCAGTACTCGCATAGCCTAATTAACGTTACGCGTTTAAAGTAATGACCAAGTGGCCAGCGGCAGACAGTGAGCATATGTTTGATCAATTTAGCCTTCTCAAATCATCACGACTTGACTAAAATAAAATCTATAGATATAAAACAGTTCAAGCATATAACAATGTTTAAACGTTAAAACCTAGATAAATGTGCGCTGTATCCAATAGTTTGCGCAGAGAGTGGAAGCTGAAGCGCGCTTTGCAGGACATAGAGACGCCAGCGCAATCACTTGCATTTTTTTCA